GTGTGTCTGTATCCACCATAACTCATGAACCGATACACAGAAAAACACCAAATTTTAAACTTAAGTTTTATTCCTGCGTCCAATGAATTGATTAGATTTTGGGCAGTCAGAACATATGGGGGAGGTACTTTATGGGTGGTCATTTTTATATATTTTATGGAATATATCTGTTATTTACGTTTGAATAAGAAAATTCTTCAAATAAAAGTTACTTACAATAATATTATTAATATTTTTTGTTCTATACAAAATTTTCCTAAAATGGTCCGTATTAGAGAAATTTGACAAAATGTAAAAAAATATTTTTTATAAAAATTGTTTAAATAAAAGTTGTTTGTAATATAATTCTCTATAATTTTTATCCTATACATAATTTCTCTAAAAACGTCTAAAACCGTTGAAAAACCTAAAAAAGTTTGAGAAACGTCTAAATTGTTATAAAAACGTTAAAAAACACTGAAAAACGTCTAAAACTTAAAAAAAAAACGTTGAAAAACGTCGAAAAACCTTAAAAACGTCGAAAAACGTCTAAAAATGTTAAAAAAACGTTGGAAAACGTCGAAAAATGTTATAAAAACGTTGAAAACGTCTAAAAATGTTATAAAAAAAAAAACGTTAAAAAACGTCTAAATCGTTGAAAGACCTAAAAAAGTTATAAAACACTTTGAAAAACGTCTAAATTGTTATAAAAACGTTAAAAACACTGAAAAACGTCTAAAAATGTTAGAAAAATGATGGAAAACGTGTAAAGATGTAAAAACCGTGAATTATCACGGTTTTTACATCTTTACATCATTAGATTGAAAACGTTGAAAAACGTCTAAAACTCTTAAAGAACGTTGACAAACGTCGAAAAACACAAATTTTTTGAAAATCGTTGAAAAACGTCAAAAAACGTCTAAAAATCTTAAAAAAACGTTGGAAAACGTCGAAAAAACGTCTGAAAAATGTTATAAAAAAAGTTGAAAAATTTCTAAAACCGTTGAAAAACCTAAAAAAGTTATAAAAAGTTTGAAAAACATCGAAAACCGTCTAAAACTGTTTAAAAAAACCCGTTGAAAAACCTTAAAAACATCCAAAAACGTCTAAAAATGTTAGAAAAACGTTAGAAAACGTCTAAAGATATATAAAAAAAAACGTGAAAAGGATTGAAAACGTTGAAAAACGTCTAAAACTCTTAAAAAACGTTGACAAACGTCGAAAAACAAAAAAAAATTTAAAATCGTTGAAAAACGTCTAAAAAATCTTATAAAAACGTTGGAAAACGTCAAAAAACGTCTGAAAATGTTATAAAAACGTTAAAAAACATTGAAAAACACCTAAAACAATTAAAAAAACGGACTAGTAATAACGGAAATTGAAGCTTAGACTCTTTCAACGTTGAAAACCTTTGAAAAACGTCTAAAAATGTTATAAAAACGTTAGAAAACGTCGAAAAACGTCTAAAAATGTTATAAAAAAACGTTGAAAAATGTCTAAAACCGTTGAAAAACCTAAAAAACTTATAAAAAAAGTCTAAATTGTTATAAAAACGTTAAAAAAACACTGAAAAACGTCTAAAAATGTTATAAAAATGATGGAAAACGTGTAAAGATGTAAAAAACGTGATAATGATTGAAAACGTTGAAAAACGTCTAAAACTCTTAAAGAACGTTGACAAACGTCGAAAAACACAATTTTTTTGAAAATCGTTGAAAAACGTCAAAAAACGTCTAAAAACTTTAAAAAACGTTGGAAAACGTTGAAAAACGTCTGAAAAATGTTATAAAAACGTTAAAAAACATTGAAAAACACCTAAAACAGTTAAAAAAACGGACTAGTAATAACGGAAATTGAAGTTTAGACTCTTTCAACGTTGAAAAACTTTGAAAAACGTCTAAAAATGTTATAAAAACGTTAGAAAACGTTTAAAAACCTAAAAAAGTTATAAAAAGTTTGAAAAACATCGAAAAACGTCTAAAACTGTTTAAAAAAACCCGTTGAAAAACCTTAAAAACATCCAAAAACGTCTAAAAATGTTAGAAAAACGTTAGAAAACGTCTAAAGATGTAAAAAAAAACGTGAAAAGGATTGAAAACGTTGAAAAACGTCTAAAACTCTTAAAAAACGTTGACAAACGTCGAAAAACATAAAATTTTTGAAAATCGTTGAAAAACGTCTAAAAAATCTTATAAAAACGTTGGAAAACGTCAAAAAAACGTCTGAAAATGTTATAAAAACGTTAAAAAAACATTGAAAAACACCTAAAACAATTAAAAAACGGACTAGTAATAACAGAAATTGAAGCTTAGACTCTTTCAACGTTGAAAACCTTTGAAAAACGTCTAAAAAGGTTATAAAAACGTTAGAAAACGTTGAAAAAACCTAAAAAAGTTATAAAAAAAGTTTAAAAAACGTCTAAATTGTTATAAAAACGTTAAAAAAAAACACTGAAAAACGTCTAAAACTGTTAAAAAAACCCGTTGAAAAACGTCGAAAAACCTTAAAAACGTCGAAAAACGTCTAAAAATGTTATAAAAACGTTTGAAAAACGTCTAATACTCTTAAAAAACGTTGACAAACGTCGAAAAACATAAAAAAATTTGAAAATCGTTGCAAAACGTCTAAAAAAAGATTGTATTAGAGTTTTAATCTATCCCCTCAAGACATTTTCTAACCTAATTTCAAAAACGTCACGTTTTCCATATAGCTGGAAAGTAGCTAAAGTGTGTCATGTACACAAGTTTGAAAATCGTAATGTGATTAACAATTATAGGCCCATATCTATACTGAATAACGAAGCGAAAGTTTTGGAATCAATCTTGTAAAAGACACTATTTTCAATCACCAGCATGGATTCATGAACTCGAGATTCACAATAAGCAACTTAGTCAACTTTAGTCAATACTTATGTGAATCATTAGATAGAAGATGTCAGGTTGATGCGGTGTATACTGATTTTAGGCTTTTGACAAAACCAGTCATGTAATACTTCTTAAAAACCTACAATGCTTAGGCTTCAATGATATGTACCTTTCAGTATTTAGATCTTATCTATACTCAAGTATCTATATAGCAGCTAGTTCCTCAGGGATCTAATTTAGGTTCCTTGCTTTTTCTATTATTTATTAATGATCTGTGATCAATTATTGAACATTTCCATGGACGTGTGTTTTCCATTTTTCATGAAATTATCCGTGCAATTTTTTTTTAATACATGAAAGAAGAGTCATTTGTTTACAAGAGTAATAAAAATAATTTATTAATATCAAAGATACTTTTCATAATAATTATAATGAACAAAAAACAAATAATGCTGAACACAACTTTGACGTTATTAACTTATATTTAAAAACAAAGCATTGAATAGAATAAGAATATGCCAAGTGGTGATTTGTTTATTTAACATTAGTAAATCCATTGGCAGAGTCGGAACATCTGAGGGGTACTTTATAGAGAGTTGTTTTTATATTTCATGAAATATATCTGTTATTTACTTTTGAAGAAGAAAATTCTTCAAATAAAAGTTACTTCTACTATTATTATCTATAATTCTTGACCTATACATAATTTCTCTAAAATGGACCGTATTCGAGATATTTGAGAAAAAGTGTAAATTTCGAATTTTGAAGAAAACTCAAAAACGGATAAAGAGAAAAACACCAAATTTTAAAGTTAATCTTTTTTCAAGCCTGCGGTGAAATGATTAGATTTTGGGCAGAGTCGGAGCATCTGGGGGGTTATTTTTATATTTTATGGAATATATCTGTTATTTACGTTTGGAGAAGAAAATTCTTCAAATAAAAGTTACTTCTAATTTTATTCTCTATAATTTTTATCTTATACAAAATTTTCCTAAAATGGTCCGTATTCGAGAAATTTTAGAAAACGTAAAAAAAAATCAAATTTTTTAGAAAATTGTTCAAATAAAAGTTGTTTGTAATATTATTCTCTATAATTCTTGTCCTAAGCATAATTTCTCTAAAATGGACCGTATTCGAGATATTTGAGAAAAAGTGTAAATTTCGAATTTTGAAGAAAACTTAAAAGAGAAAAACATCAAATTTTCAACTTAAGCTTTATTATGACCTGAGGTGAACTGATTAGATTTTAAGCAGAGTCGGAACATAGGGGGATACTTTATAGGGGGTCGTTTTTATATTTTATGGCATATATCCGTTATTTACGTTTGGAAAATAAATTTTTTTTAAATAAAAGTTACTTCTAATATTATTCTCTATAATTTTTGTTTCTTATATGATTTCTCTAAAATGGACCGTAATCGAAAAATTTGAAGAAAAGTGTAAAATTGAAATTTTTCAGTATTTTCCTAGATAAAATTAACGTAACATCATTTGCCACATTTTTTCTGCCGATAAATTTTTTGAACGATTCATTTATCAAGATTAAAATACTCGTCGGGCAACCGGATATACGAAACGAACGTTTAATAAGCAGTTTCTGAACAGTTTTTATCAATATGGCGAATTTTATTCGACCTTTCATCTTTAAAACTCAACATCTGTTGATAGATCGCTTGAAATGTCAGAAAAGGTCCATAGCCTACTTCTGAATAGTTTGAACCTAAACCTTTGTAACTTTAAAACTCAACATCTGTTGACACATCGCTTGAAATGTCAGAAAAATTCCATAGCCTACTTGAAAATATTTAACAATGAATGTTTTGAATAATAAAACATGTTACACTATAAAACGGCGTATCTTCTTTAATAACAGAGATAATGAAGTAAACTAAACAAGGAAATGTTGCCAAAAGATGGACCTACCGTCTAATATCAACTGCTATACGTTTCGGTTGCTTGTGATACGAATTTTTTATAAATCGAAAAGGAACTTTTTATCATAAAGACCAACATATAATGCAGAACATTTACAAAGGTGCTGTAAAAAATAACAGGAAAAAGCCTGGAATAACTAGATAGAAAAGTCACATTTTTAATTGCCATTAGATCAATAGAACGTTTTAAAAATAGTTAATAATAAATAAATGGATATTTTACCAGTTTGGAGTCGATGTATCTCTCATACGGAGGAACGGGAACATTCTGGTAAGATCCATACTTAGAACATTCTAGTAATTTGGATTCAAAATTATCCACAGTTCCATAGCTTAGCGGTAGTTCATATAACTGTGTAAGTAAAGTCCTTATCTCTCTATCAGACCATGTACTAAAATACAAAAAATTATTAGTTTTATTACTACAAAATTATTTAGAAATAATAGAGAACGTTTTAAGATATCAATAAATGAGAGATAAAGAGTTATATACATAAAAAAATGTTCTAAAATAGTTCATAACTGACAAATATTACATTATATTCATGATTACTCATTATAATAACAAAGATATAAGTTTTATGCCCTTTTGACCTGTCACTGCGCATGATTTTTCTTGTCAACGTTCATCTATACCGCGATCTCTACATAATGCCGTTTTTTTCCGTTGGAAAACGTCTAAAGATGTAAAAAAACGTGAAAAAAATTGAAAACGTTGAAAAACGTCTAAAACTCTTAAAAAACGTTGACAAACGTCGAAAAACATATAAAATTTTTGAAAATCGTTGAAAAACGTCAAAAAATCTTATGAAAACGTTGAAAAAACGTCGAAAAACGTCTGAAAATGTTATAAAAAACATTGAAAAACGCCTAAAACAGTTAAAAACAATTTAAATCTGACCAACAATAACAAAGATATAAGTTTTAGGCCTTTTTGGTCCGTCACTGCGCATTAGTTTTCTTTTCATCGTTCATCTATACCACGTTTTCTACATAATACCGTTTTTCCCGTTTGAACCGGACTAGTAATAATGGAAATTGAAGCTTAGGCTCCTTTAACGTTGAAAAACCTTGAAAAACGTCTAAAAATGTTATAAAAACGTTAGAAAACGTCGAAAAACGTCTAAAAATGTTATTTAAAAAACGTTGAAAAACGTCTAAAACCATTGAAAAACCTAAAGAAGTTTGAAAAACGTCGACAAACGTCTAAATTGTTATAAAAACGTTAAAAAAACACTGAAAAACGTCTAAAACTGTTAAAAAACCGTTGAAAAACGTCGAAAAACCTTAAAAACGTCTAAAAATGATAGAAAAACGTCTCAAAAAGGTTAGAAAAACGTTGGAAAACCTCTAAAGATATAAAAAAAAAAAGTGAAAAAGATTGAACACGTTGAAAAACGTCTAAAGCTCTTAAAAACGTTGACAAACGTCGAAAAACATAAATTTTTTGAAAATAGATGAAAAACGTCTAAAAATCTTATAAAAACGTTGGAAAACGTTGAAAAACGTCTGAAAATGTTATAAAAACGTTAAAAAACATTGAAAAATGCCTAAAACAGTTAAAAACAGTTTAAATCTGACCAACAATAACAAATATATAAGTTTTAGGCCTTTTTGGTCCGTCACTGCGCACTATTTTTCTCTTCATCGTTCATCTATACCACGTTTTCTACATAATGCGGTTTTTTCCGTTTGAATTGGACTAGTAATAATGGAAATTGAAACTTAGACTCTTTCAACGTTGAAAAACGTTGAAAACCCTTGAAATGAAAAACGTCTAAAAATATTATAAAAAAGTTAGAAAACGTCGAAAAAAGTCTAAAAATGTTATAAAAAAACGTTGAAAAATGTCTAAAACCGTTGAAAAGCCTAAAAAAGTTATAAAACAGTTTGAAAAACGTCTAAATTGTTATAAAAACGTTAAAAAACATCTAAAACCGTTTAAAAAAACCGTTGAAAAACGTCTAAAAACCTTAAAAACGTCGAAAAAACGTTTAAAAATATTAGAAAAACGTTGAAAAACGTCTAAATATGTAAAAAAATCGTGAAATAGATTGAAAACGTTGAAACCCGTCTAAAACTCTTAAAAAACGTTGACAAACGTCGAAAAACATATAAAAATATTATAAAAAGGTTAGAAAACGTCGAAAAACGTCTAAAAATGTTATAAAAAAACGTTGAAAAATGTCTAAAACCGTTGAAAAGCCTAAAAAAGTTATAGAACAGTTTGAAAAACGTCTAAATTGTTATAAAAACGTTAAAAAACATCTAAAACCGTTTAAAAAAAACCGTTGAAAAACATCTAAAAACCTTAAAAACGTCGAAAAACGTCTAAAAATATTAGAAAAACGTTGAAAAACGTCTAAATATGTAAAAAAATCGTGAAATAGATTGAAAACGTTGAAAACCGTCTAAAACTCTTAAAAAACGTTGACAAACGTCGAAAAACATAAATTTTTTGAAAATCGTTGAAAAACGTCAAAAAACGTCTAAAAATCTTATAAAAATGTTGGAAAACGTCGAAAAAACGTCTGAAAATGTTATAAAAACGTTGAAAAAACATTTAAAAACGCCTAAAACAGTTAAAAAACCGACTAGTAATAACGGAAATTGAAGCTTAGACTCTTTCAACGTTGAAAACCCTTGAAAAACGTCTAAAAATGTTATAAAAACGTTAGAAAACGTCGAAAAAACGTCTAAAAATGTTATAGCATGATTTTTCTGTTCGACGTTCCCCCCATTCCCCCCCTCCCTTTCACTCTGTCTCACTCTTACTTACTGAATCTGTACCTCTTCCTCTTACGCATTGAAATATGTCCCCAACATACATAAAAATTTTCAATGCCTATTTTAGAAACATTTTTTATGACATAAAATATTAAATAATCTTACTTGGAAGAATCTGTATCAAATTCATCAAAAATATCTTCAATAGTTCTATTTCTCTTCTCAGACATCACGAAATGGTAATAAGTAAACGAAAATTGCATATCATCTTTTCTTCTAACTTTATTTTTTTCAGTTATTCGAAATTCTTCAACAAATTTATTTTCTAATTCCTTCATAATGTCTTTGTCTATTAAAATTGGAGCGTGTGATGGAACTTTTCGAGTTTGGAAACCGTATTTGGAATTGAAAACTCTATTTGAATGCTGCAACGAAGCGCTGTACGCGTCTATGTTTTTGGTGAATTTAAATTTCTCGAAATACTTTCTAAATTTAGAATTGTCACGTTTTTTTATATGTCTTCTAAATTTATCAGTTTTTATTAAATTATTATTGTGATCTTTTACGATATTTGAAATATTTTTTATCGATGTATTATTCATATTCACAAGGTTCGTATCGTTTAATTTTTTGAGAAATATGTGGTAAAAGTTTGCTTGGACTTTTTTTATAGTTTCTGCTAAAGCTGCACTTTTAGTTTCATTTTCTTCGTTTACATATTCTGAATTATCGGTAGTGAAATCGTAAATGGTACGTTTCTAAAAAGAAAAATATTGTTTGTTAAAAAAGTTATATCATTAAAAATTCTAAAAAAAAAATATTAAAAGCCTTTATCAGATTTTTTTTATAAAAAACGTATTTTCGCATGTATTTAATTGTAAAACTTTAATTTAAACACCCGGTATATATAGATTAAATACCGACTAGACGTAAAATCTGGTCGGACGGTGGACTGCAATTCAAATTGGGTATTTTTTTCATAGGGAAATACACCTACGGTTAGGTTAGATAGATCTAAATAAGTCTTATTTAGATCTATCTAACCTAACCGTAGGTGTATTTCCCTATGAAAAAAATACCTAAAAAAATGTTCTAAAATAACTCATAACTGACAAATATTACATGATATTCATGATTACGCATGATTCTAAATTAAAATCAAATTGATACCTAAAAAGATATGTTTTATATCCTTTTGACCTGTCACTGCGCATGATTTTTCTCTTCAACGTTCATCTATACCGCGTTCTCTACATAATGCCGGTTTTTCCGTTTAAATCTGACGAACAATAACAAAGATATAAGTTTTAGGCCCTTTTGGTCTGTCACTTCGCTAAAAAAATACTAAAATCTCTTAACCTGCTCATCTGCATCATCATTATCATCATCGCAATCGCTGCCGTCCCGTTTGAATCGGACTAGTAATAATGGAAATTGAAGCTTAGACTCTTTCAACGTTGAAAAACGTCTAAAAATGTTATAAAAACGTTAGAAAACGTCGAAAAACGTCTAAAAATGTTATTTAAAAAACGTTGAAAAACGTCTAAAACCATTGAAAAACCTAAAGAAGTTTGAAAAACGTCGACAAACGTCTAAATTGTTATAAAAACGTTAAAAAACTCTGAAAACGTCTAAAACTGTTGAAAAACGTCTAAAAATGTTAGAAAAACGTCTAAAAATGTTAGAAAAACGTTGGAAAACGTCTAAAGATATAAAAAACGTGAAAAAGATTGAACACGTTGAAGAACGTCTAAAACTCTTAAAAAACGTTGACAAACGTCGAAAATCATAAAATTTTTGAAAATCGTTGAAAACCGTCTAAAAATCTTATAAAAACGTTGGAAAACGTCGAAAACCATCTAAAAATGTTATAAAAACTTTAAAAAACATTTAAAAACGCATAAAACAGTTTAAAAAACGGACTAGTAATAACGGAAATTGAAGCTTAGACTCTTTCAACGTTAAAAACCCTTGAAAAACGTCTAAAAATGCTATAAAAACGTTAGAAAACGTCGAAAAACGTCTAAAAATGTTATAAAGAAAACGTTGAAAAATGTGTAAAACCGTTGAAAAACGTTGAAAAACCAAAAAAAGTTATAAAAAAAAGTTTAAAAAACGTCGAAAAACGTCTAAAAATGTTATAAAACCGTTGGAAAACGTCTAAATATGTAAAAAAAAAAACGTTAAAAAGATTGAAAACGTCGAAAAACGTCTAAAACTCTTAAAAAAACGTTGACATACGTCGAGAAACATAAAATTTTGAAAATCGTTGAAAAACGTCAAAAAACGTTTAAAAATTGTATAAAAACTTTGGAAAACGTCTGAAAATGTTATAAAAACATTAAAAAGCATTGAAAAACACCTAAAACAGTTAAAAAAAACGGACTAGTAATAACGGAAATTGAAGCTTCGACTATTTAAACGTTGAAAACCCTTGAAAAACGTCTAAAAATGTTATAAAAACGTTAGAAAACGTCAAAAAATGTTATATATAAAAACGTTGAAAAATGTCTAAAACCGTTGAAAAACCTAAAAAAGTTATAAAAGGTTTGAAAAACGTCTAAAACTGTTAAAAAAACCCGTTGAAAAACCTTAAAAACGTCCAAAAACGTCTAAAAATGTTATAAAACCGTTGGAAAACGTCTAAATATGTAACGAAGCGCTGACGCGTCTATGTTTTTGTTGAATTTAAATTTCTCGAAATACTTTCTAAATTTAGAATTGTCACGTTTTTTTATATGTCTTCTAAATTTATCAGTTTTGATTAAATTATTATTGTGATCTTTTACGATATTTGAAATATTTTTTATCGATGTATTATTCATATTCACAAGGTTCGTATCGTTTAATTTTTTGAGAAATATGTGGTAAAAGTTTGCTTGGACTTTTTTTATAGTTTCTGCTAAAGCTGCACTTTTAGTTTCATTTTCTTCGTTTACATATTCTGAATAATCGGTAGTGAAATCGTACATGGTACGTTTCTAAAAAGAAAAATATTGTTTGTTAAAAAAGTTATATCTTAAAAAATTCTAAAAAAAAAATATTAAAAGCCTTTATCAGATTTTTTTTATAAAAAACGTATTTTCGCATGTATTTAATTGTAAAACTTTAATTTAAACACCCGGTATATATAGATTAAATACCGACTAGACGTAAAATCTGGTCGGACGGTGGACTGCAATTCAAATTGGGTATTTTTTTCATAGGGAAATACACCTACGGTTAGGTTAGATAGATCTAAATAAGACTTATTTAGATCTATCTATCTAACCTAACCGTAGGTGTATTTCCCTATGAAAAAAATACCTAAAAAAATGTTCTAAAATAACTCATAACTGACAAATATTACATGATATTCACGATTACGCATGATTCTAAATTAAAATCAAATTGATACCTAAAAAGATATGTTTTATGTCCTTTTGACCTGTCACTGCGCATGATTTTTCTCTTCAACGTTCATCTATACCGCGTTCTCTACATAATGCCGGTTTTTCCGTTTAAATCTGACGAACAATAACAAAGATATAAGTTTTAGGCCCTTTTGGTCTGTCACTTCGCTAAAAAAATACTAAAATCTCTTAACCTGCTCATCTGCATCATCATTATCATCATCGCAATCGCTGCCGTCCCGTTTGAATCGGACTAGTAATAATGGAAATTGAAGCTTAGACTCTTTCAACGTTGAAAAACCTTGAAAAACGTCTAAAAATGTTATAAAAACGTTAGAAAACTTTGAAAAACGTCTAAAAATGTTATTTAAAAAACGTTGAAAAACGTCTAAAACCATTGAAAAACCTAAATAAGTTTGAAAAACGTCGACAAACGTCTAAATTGTTATAAAAACGTTAAAAAACTCTGAAAACGTCTAAAACTGTTGAAAAACGTCGAAAAACCTTAAAAACGTCGAAAAACGTCTAAAAATGTTAGAAAAACGTCTAAAAATGTTAGAAAAACGTTGGAAAACGTCTAAAGATATAAAAAAAAACGTGAAAAAGATTCAACACGTTGAAAAACGTCTAAAACTCTTAAAAAACGTTGACAAACGTCGAAAATCATAAAATTTTTGAAAATCGTTGAAAACCGTCTAAAAATCTTATAAAAACGTTGGAAAACGTCGAAAACCATCTGAAAATGTTATAAAAACTTTAAAAAACATTTAAAAACGCATAAAACAGTTTAAAAAACGGACTAGTAATAACGGAAATTGAAGCTTAGACTCTTTCAACGTTAAAAAACGTTGAAAACCCTTGAAAAACGTCTAAAAATGTTATAAAAACGTTAGAAAACGTCGAAAAACGTCTAAAAATGTTATAAAGAAAACGTTGAAAAATGTGTAAAACCGTTGAAAAACCTAAAAAAGTTATAAAAAAAAAGTTTAAAAAACGTTTAAATTGTTATAAAAACGTTAAAAAAAAAACACTGAAAAACGTCTAAAACTGTTAAAAAAAACCCGTTGAAAAACGTCGAAAAACCTTAAAAACGTCTAAAAATGTTATAAAACCGTTGGAAAACGTCTAAATATGTAAAAAAAAAAACGTGAAAAAGATTGGAAACGTCGAAAAACGTCTAAAACTCTTAAAAAACGTTGACATACGTCGAGAAACATAAAATTTTGAAAATCGTTGAAAAACGTCAAAAAACGTTTAAAAATTGTATAAAAACTTTGGAAAACGTCTGAAAATTAAAAAGCATTGAAAAACACCTAAAACAGTTAAAAAACGGACTAGTAATAACGGAAATTGAAGCTTCGACTATTTAAACGTTGAAAACCCTTGAAAAACGTCTAAAAATGTTATAAAAACGTTAGAAAACGTCAAAAAATGTTATATATAAAAACGTTGAAAAATGTCTAAAACCGTTGAAAAACCTAAAAAAGTTATAAAAATTTTGAAAAACGTCGAAAAACGTCTAAAACTGTTAAAAAAAACCCGTTGAAAAACCTTAAAAAACGTCCAAAAACGTCTAAAAATGTTATAAAACCGTTGGAAAACGTCTAAATATGTAACGAAGCGCTGTACGCGTCTATGTTTTTGTTGAATTTAAATTTCTCAAAATACTTTCTAAATTTAGAATTGTCACGTTTTTTTATATGTCTTCTAAATTTATCAGTTTTGATTAAATTATTATTGTGATCTTTTACGATATTTGAAATATTTTTTATCGATGTATTATTCATATTCACAAGGTTCGTATCGTTTAATTTTTTGAGAAATATGTGGTAAAAGTTTGCTTGGACTTTTTTTATAGTTTCTGCTAAAGCTGCACTTTTAGTTTCATTTTCTTCGTTTACATATTCTGAATTATCGGTAGTGAAATCGTAAATGGTACGTTTCTAAAAAGAAAAATATTGTTTGTTAAAAAAGTTATATCATTAAAAATTCTAAAAAAAAAAAACTTAAAAGCCTTTATCAGATTTTTTTTATAAAAAACGTATTTTCGTCTGTATTTAATTGTAAAACTTTAATTTCAACACCCGGTATATATAGATTAAATACCGACTAGACGTAAAATCTGGTCGGACGGTGGACTGCAATTCAAATTGGGTATCTTTAGATATCGTTAGATAGATCTAAATAAGACTTATTTAGATCTATCTAACCTAACCGTAGGTGTATTTCCCTATGAAAAAAATACCTAAAAAAATGTTCTAAAATAACTCATAACTGACAAATATTACATGATATTCATGATTACTCATGATTCTAAATTAAAATCAAATTGATACCTAAAAAGATAAAAGTTTTATGCCCTTTTGACCTGTCACTGCGCATGATTTTTCTCCTCAACGTTCATCTATACCGCGTTCTCTACATAATGCCGGTTTTTTCGTTTAGATATAAGTTTTAGGCCCTTTTGGTCTGTCACTTCGCTAAAAAAATACTAAAATCTCTTAACCTGCTCATCTGCATCATCATTATCATCATCGCAATCGCTGCCGTCCATTTGACATTCCGGTATGTAACAGTCTCTGTCGCATTGTCCGTCATTTACGTATATCCACAAACAATTGTGGGCGCAATTGGGTACTGGCCAAGCTAAGTATATTAAAAATCCTTTTCCGGGTGTATAAAAATCGTCTGGGTGAATTGGAGATGCCAGAAATAAATCGTCATTGAAATATATAAACTTTTTTGACAGTCCAGGTATGCTGGAAGATAATTTTACAATGTTTTTATTTTGTTAAAATAAAAAATATTATTATTGCGAGGCAGTGAACGTGTGGAGAAATTATTGATAAATATTTATAAAAAAAACCTAAATATATATAATAATGAGGCTTAAGCTAGCAGACTAACATTTTTTAGGTCTTTAAAAATGCGCGGATTCGCAGATAAACCTTGTTTTATCAAAATGACAAAAAACAATATTTAGCACGAAAATTCAGGTATAATTTTTAGGTCAAATGATTAAGTACATTAGTATCATTTAAAAACACAATAAATCATTACAAAGATCTCTAAATATGTTTTTTATGTTTTTAAAAATGCACGGTTCCGCGAGTAAACCTTACTTTATCAAAATGACAAAAAATACCCCTCCAGATGTTCCGACTCTGCGCAAAATATATAAATATTGCGATGTCTTAAAATTTTTAAAATCGAAAAGACTGAAATGTTCCAATGGCCCCCTGTTAAAAATTTTGTTGGTTATAAAAAAAAATTGACAAAAAAAAAATATCAAAAAAATTAACAAAATGATAAAAAATGACAAGACAAAAAATAATTTGACAATACAAAAAAAATATGACAAAAAAATTTAAAAAGTTTGATAAAAAAAATTTGAAAAGACAAAAAAAATTGACAAGACAAAAAATATTAAAAAAAAATGACAAAAAAATTTGACAAGACAAAAAAATGAAACAAAATTAAAAACAAATTTGACAAGACAAAAAAATGACAAAAAATTTGACAAGACAAAAAAATATAAAAAAAATTGACATGACAAAAAAAATTTGACAAGACAAAAAATGACAAAATAATTGACAAAAAAAAATTTGACAGGACAAAAAAAATTGACAAAATGGCAAAAAAAAACAAAATTAAAAAAAAAAATTGAAAAGAAAAAAATAAAAAATTTGACAAGACAAAAAAAATTGACAAAATGACAAAAAAATATTTGACAACAAAAACATGACGAAAAAATTAAACAAAATTAAAAACAAATTTGACAAGGCAAAAGACAAAATAATTGACAAAAAAAAATTGACAAGACAAAAAAAATATCAAAAAAAAATTGACAAAATAGCAAAAAAAAAAATTGAAAAGAAAAAAATGATAAAAAATTTGACAAGACAAAAAATTAAAAAAAATTGACAAGACAAAAATATAAAAAAAAATTGACAAAATGACAAAAAAAAAACTTTGACAAGACAAAAAAAAGTGAAACAAAATTAAAAAAAAATTGACAAGACAAAAAAAATTGGCAAGACAAAAAAATATCAAAAAAAAATTGACAAAATGACAAAAAAAAGAACAAAATTAAAAAAATTGACAAGACAAAAAATGACAAAAAATTTGACAAGACAAAAAAATTAAAAAAAAATTGACAAAACAAAAAAATTAAAAAAAAATTGACAAGACAAAAAAATATCAAAAAAATTGACAAAATAAAAAAAAATTCACAAGACAAAAAAATGAAACAAAATTAAAAAAAATTGACAGGACAAAAATAATTTGACAAGACAAAAAAATAAAAAAAAATGACAAGACAAAAAAATATCAAAAAAATTGACAAGACAAAAAAAAAATTTGAAAAGAAAAACAAAAATTTGACAAGACAAAAACATTGACAAAAGACAAAAAAATAATTGACAACAAAAACATGACGAAAAAAATTGACAAGACAAAAATATCAAAAAAAATTGACAAAATGACAAAAAAAAAACTTTGACGAGACAAAAAATGACAAAATAATTGACAAAAAAAAATTTGACAGGACAAAAAAAATTGACAAAATGGCAAAAAAAAAAACAAAATTAAAAAAAAAATTTGAAAAGAAAAAAATAAAAAATTTGACAAGACAAAAAAATTGACAAGACAAAAAAATATCAAAAAAATTGACAAAATAAAAAAATTCACAAGACAAAAAAATAAACAAAATTAAAAAAAAAATGACAGGACAAAAATAATTTGACAAGACAAAAAAATAAAAAAAAATGACAAGACAAAAAAATATCAAAAAAATTGACAAGACAAAAAAATATCAAAAAAATTGACAAGACAAAAAATGAAATAAAATTAAAAAAAAATTGACAGGACAAAAAAAATGACAAAAATAATTTAACAAGACAAAAAAAAGTAAAAAAAGTAAAAAATTTTTTTACTAATTCCATAAAATAAAAAAACGAGCCCCTATAAAGTACTCCCCTAGATGGTCCGACTCTGCCCAAATTCTAATCGTTCGTCTCAGATCGGAATAAAGCTTAAATTTAAAAAAAAATTTGGTCATGTTTTTCTTTTTTCTTTTTTTTTTCGTTCGTTTTTTCTTTTGTTTTTCTTTTTTTATATTTTTTTGTTCTTTTTCTGTTTTTTTAGTCTTTTTCTTTTTTACTCTTGTTTTTTTATTTTGTTTTTCTGTTTTTTCTTTGTTTTTTCTCTTTTTTTTGTTCTTTCTGTTTTTTAGTTTTTTTCTTTTTTAATATTTTTTGTTCTTTTTTTACTCTTGTTTTTTTTGTTTTTTAATTTTGTTTTTCTGTTTTTTCTTTGTTTTTTTCTCTTTTTTTGTTCTTTCTCTGTTTTTTTAGTCTTTTTCTTTTTTAATCTTTTTTGTTCTTTTTTACTCTTGTTTTTTTTTGGTTTTTTTATTTTGTTTTTCTGTTTTTTTCTTTTTTTCGTTCATTTTTTTATTTTTTTTTTACTTTTTAATTTTTTTTTTACTTTTTAATTTTTTTTTCTTTTTTGTTTTTTTTTAATTCTTTTTGTCTTTTTTAATCTTTTTGTTTTTTTTCTTGTTTTGTTTTACTTTTTTGAATAATTTTATTTTTTTTTTACGTTTTAATTTTTTTACTTTTTCTTTTTTGTTATTTTTATTTTTTTTTCTCTTTTTTTTTTATTCTTTCTTCTTTTTTTTTTAAATTGATAGGAGGTCGTTTTTATATTTTGTGGAATATATCAATTATTTATGTTCGGAAAAGAAAATTGTTTAAATAAAAGTTACTTCTTATATTATTCTCTATAATTTTTGTCCTATACAAAATTTTCCTAAAATGGACCGTATTAGAGATATTTGAGAAAATGTGTAAATTTCGAATTTTGAAGATAATTCAAAAACGGATAATGAGAAATCACCAAATTTTAAACTTAAGCTTTATTCCGGCCTAAGGTGAGCTGATTAGATTTTGGACAGAGTCGGAACATCTGGGGGGTACTTTATAGGAGGTCATTTTTATATTTTATCCGGAATATATCAGTTATTTATGATCGGAGAAGAATATTGTCCAAATAAAAGTTACTTCTCATATTATTCTCTATAATGTTTGTCCTTTACAAAATTTTCCTAAAATGGTCCGTATTCGAGAAAATTGACAAAAAGTGCAAAATTCGAATTTTTAAAAAAATTAATCAAATAAAAGTTGTTTGTGTTATCATTCTCTATAATTCTTGTCCCATTTATAATTTCTCTAAAATGGACCGTATTCGAAATATTTGAGAAAATGTGCAAATTTCGAAAATAATTCAAAAACGGATTAAGAGAAAAATATTAAATTTGAAATTTAACCTTTATTCCGGCCTGCGGTGAAATGATTAAATTTTGGGCAGTGTTGGAACATCTGGGGGGTCACTTTATAGGGGGTCATTTTTATATTTTAATGAATATATCTGTTATTTACGTTTGGAGGAGAAAATTCTTCAAATAAAAGTTGTTTGTTATATTATTTTCTATAATTTTTGTTCCATACATAATTTCTCTGAAATGAACCATATTTGAGATATTTAAGAAAATGTGTAAATTTCGAATTTTGAAAAAAACTCAAAAGAGGATAAAGAGGAAAACATAAAATTTTAAACTTTATTCTGTCCTGAGTAATATCAATTTATTATCTATAATAACTGGCCTAAAACTAAAATATTAATATTACGAGGCACTGAACGTGTTAAGAAATTATTTATATTTATTTATACAATAAAATAGAATATTTTTAATACCTGTGGAGATTACTTTCGATAGCAGGACTAGAAAATGTTGGTAAATTAGTAACATCTTTAAAAATTTCATTATGAGTCACAACAGTCACTTTTTCATAATCCAAATTAAGCCAATATGGAATCTGCCCATTCGTTACAATGTACACATGATTTATCCATGGCGCGTACTTCTCTATTGACCTAAAAATATATCATTATCATTCAAAATTAATAAAAAAATTTCTATAACACACCTCAAAGAAAACTTCAATTCATATTTATCATCAAATCTTTGTTTAGAAGAATCACAACTGATGTTTTTATTCTTTAAGTATTCATTCAAGTTTTTGTTAAATTTAGGATCTGAACCATTCACCCAGGTGTATACAATATCTATTTTTTCTCCATATTGGCAGTTTGAAGTGGTAAAAGTTTCATTTAGAAGACCATGGTGGAAAAACTAGAAATAAAGTTATTAAAAGCAAACTGAAGACCATGAACATTTTAATTTGTTCTGAGCCTTTATTTTTGATCCAATTGTTGTGAAATTTTCACAAAATATAAATAATAACAAATATTATAGTAAGGTTCTTTTGTTAACCTTCAAAAAGTATTTGAATATATTGCTGTATTTTTTTCATAGGGAAATACACCTATGGTTAGGTTAGATAGATCTAAATATCTATCTAACCTAACCATAGGTGTATTTACCTATGAAAAAAATACAGCAATATTTTTAACTTATTTTTAATAGTAACTTACCTTAAATATCAGATAAATAAGTACGAATAAAATGAAGAGAAAAAGCGAAAAAATAAACTTAATAAAAAAGCACTTTCTCATATGAAAAATCACAACCATTTTCAAGTCTACTTAGATCATTATGATAGTATAAAAAATACTAATAAAAATGTATTTAAAATATATACACTTGTTATCATTTGGATGTAAGTTATTAACATTTTGGCTTTGTTGTTTTTAAATAATTAAAAAATAAATAAAACGCGTCACATAACCTCAAACTCTCAAACGTCAGTTTGTTTTGGTTAGAGGTGGGACGCTAAAACCATTGAAATGTAACAGTTATTGGAACGCTAGGAGCAATTGTAAAAAAATTGTGCGTCTAGAATTAAATAATGACAGTTTTACTACCGTTTATATATATAGACGACAGATATCAGGTTCAAATACTTTTATATAATCAGCTCCATTATTTATGAAATTTCTAAAACAAAAAAAAGATCCTCGGCTTGTATTCGAAAACAATGATTCTTTACCCAATATTTATCTATAAAAAAAGGTCTTCTCTGTATATTTTTCTGTAAAGCGTGGTGCCATTTGCATACAAAAACGTACCATTTATATAAAAATAGTGGCTTTTTTCTCAAAAGCGTACAAGCAAATCAAAAAGCGTCGAAAACACGCCTAAAGCGTGACGTGTGACAACTCTATATACCGCACATTTTAAAGTATTTGAAAAAGTTCATTCCCAAATGAAAATTAATTTTCAAATACGACTTTTTAACGAAACAAATTTCAGTCCTTTTAAAATTATCAAAACAAGTCTTTTAACCTGTAGATGTTAATTTAATATTTAAATTTGCCGCCACATTTAAGTTGGCAACGTCCAGTCTGATCTTTGGTAATTTCCTAGCTTTGACAGATATACTTTTCACTTGTCAATTGTCGTGACAAGTTGGTCATTTTGGATTAGAACCATTTTTAATTATTTTAAATTTTATTATGAAAACTACGAATTTAGCTTAAAAGAAGTAATAATTACAAACCTTTTAATTAATCAATCTGTACTAGACAAAGAGAATAGATCTTCCAGTTTGACCCACTTTTCATCGTCTTAGAACCGATTCCACCGTTGTGTTAAACGAAGTTTAAAATGACATTTTTACATTAACAATGTCATTTTAATCTCCGTTTAACACACCGGTGCAATCAGCCCTTATTTACGTATAGATGAGCAGTCTATATAAACTATATATGTCATCAATGGAATAGCGTTCCATTGCAACAGTTCCTGATGACCCAGAAACTGTTCCGATTTCAAAATTCGGAACGCACCTTTATTAATTTTCTTCTTTTTTCTTGCTAACTTGAAACCCCTCTTCTTTTAAAGACAAAAGGCCATAGATTTTATTAATACGATTATTGCAACAGTTCCTGAAAACTAAGAACTGTTCCGATTTCAAATTTTGGAACGCACCTCTATTATTATTCTTCTTTTTTCTTAAATAATTGAAACGTCTCTTTTTATAGACAAAAGACAGTAGATTTTGTTGATTAGATTAGTGCAACACGTGGTTGTGGGATTTAAATTTAAAAATTGTTCAAAATGGAAATTGTGGAATGGAAAGATCGCCGTAAAAACAGGGGAATAACTGACAGTGGTTTAACGCACGAATGTGGAGTATTTGGAGCTATTGGCAATAAACATTGGCCTTGTAATTCGGAAATTGCACAGTTTATATGTATAGGTTTGGAAGCACTTCAACACAGGTATGTATATATTTATATAATTAATTTTAAATCATTTAAATCTTATTTGTAGAGGACAAGAATCCACTGGGATTGTAGTTAGTGAGGGAACCAATGATTATCACTATCATAAAGGAATGGGACTGGTAAAACATGTTTTTAGTAATGAAAGCATTTCTAAACTAACAGGTTCCCTTGGCATAGGTAAAATACAAAAACAAAGAAGTGCTTAGCATAATTTAAAATTCTTTAGGACATACAAGATATTCCACAAGTGCTAAATCAGAACAAGTGAACTGTCAACCATTTGTGGTACATTCCATGCATGGGGCTTTAGCTGTAGCTCATAATGGAGAGCTAGTCAATGCTGCCATATTAAGGAAACAGGTAAAAAACTAATTGATACAGCTTCAGAGCCAACTTTCTTTATACGAATCACCAATGATACATTCAGTTGTAGTCCCTTCTATACTGTATATACCACTGATAATATTGACCCATATGAAACTTTAGACTTTATTTAATGGTTCATAAAGACTGTAGTGTATCACTTGTCTTTCTTTATATGAGTCACTATTGACCAAATATAAAAGTTTAATGCTTCATAAAGACAGTCAATATGTATCACATGTGATACACATAGAATTCAAGGTGTTAATTTTAGTAACAACTTTTTATGGTGATATTATAATGTTTTAAAATTGTTTGGTTCTAATTTAAAGAAATTTAAATTAAAAATTCAATGCTGGATGGAACTTAATAAAGTGTGCATCACCAGTGATACACATAAGTATATAAAAAATTATAGTTTAGTTTGATTGAATTACTGTTATATTTATACATCTATTTTAAAACTAGTAAAAACATAAAACTTCAGACTTTATTTAATGGTTCATAAAGACAGTCATGTATCACATGTGATACATATGTATCATATGTGATACACATGTTAATTTTAGCAAATATGATGTTTTAAATTTAAAATTAGTAACAACATGAAACTTCAAACTTTATTTAATGGTTTATAAAGACAGTAATTATGTATCACTTGTGATACACATGGAAGCCAAGGTGCTACTTTTAGTAACGATGTTATTGACCCAACATGAAACTTCATTCTTTATTTAATGGTTCATAAAGACAGTCATGTATCACATGTGATACACATGGAATCCAAAATGAGCATTTCTTATTGCAAACTGTTTTAAAAATGTTTGCTTCTAATTTAAAGGAATTTTAATTAGAGAGTCAGTACTGGATGGAACTTAATAAAGTGTGCATCACCAGTGATACACATAAGTATATACAAAATTATAGTTTAGTTTGATTGAATTACTGTTATATTTATACATCTATTTTAAAATTAGTAACAACATAAAACTTCAGACTTTATTTAATGTTTCATGAAGATAGTCATTATGTATCACTTGTGATACAAATGGAAGTCAAGGTGTTAATTTTTGTAACGATATTATTAACCCAACATGAAACTTAAAACTTTATTTAATAGTTCATAAAGACAGTTATGTATCACATCTGATACATATGTATCACATGTGATACACATGTTAATTTTAGCAAATATGATGTTTTAAATTTAAAATTAGTAACAACATGAAACTTCAGACTTTATTTAATGTTTCATAAAGACAGTCACTATGTATCACTTGTGATACAAATGAACGCCAAGGTGTTAATTTTAATAACGATGTTATTGACCCAACATAAAACTTCAGACTTTATTTAATGCTTCATATAGACAGTCATGTATCACATGTGATACATATGTATCACATGTGATACACATGTAAATTTTAGCAAATATGATGTTTTAAAATAATATTTAGGTATTGGATCGAGGTATAGGCAAGACAGTCATTATGTATCACATGTGATACACATTTCTTATTGCAATGTTTTAAAATTGTGTAGTTCCATTTTAAAGGAATTTAAATTAAAGAATCAGAACTGGATGGAACTTAATAAAGTGTGTATCACCAGTGATACACATAAGTATGTAAAAAATTGTAGTTTAGTTTGATTGAATTACTGTCAGATTTATACATCTATTTTAAAATTAGTAACAACATGAAACTTCAAACTTTATTTAATGTTTCATAAAGACAGTCATTATGTATCACTTATGATACAAATGGAAGCCAAGGTGTTAATTTTAGAAACAATATTATTAACCCAACATGAAACTTCAAACTTTATTTAATAGTTCATAAAGATAGTTATGTATCACATCTGATACATATGTATCACATGTGATACACATGTTAATTTTAGCAAATATGATGTTTTAAATTTAAAATTAGTAACAACATGAAATTTCAGACTTTATTTAATATTTCATAAAAACAGTCATTATGTATGACTTGTGATACAAATGAAAGCCAAGGTGTTAATTTTAGTAATGATGTTATTGACCCAACATGAAACTTCAGACTTTATTTAATGCTTCATAAAAACAGTCATGTATCACATCTGATACATATGTATCACATGTGATACACATGTTAATTTTAGCAAATATGTTTTATAAAATAATATTTAGGTATTGGATCGAGGTGTAGGCCTTTCAAAGACAGTCATTATGTATCACATGTGATACACATAAAATTCAAGGTGTTAATTTTAGTAACAACATTTTATGGTGATATTGAGCATTTCTTATTGCAATGCTTCAAAATTGTGTGGTTCCATTTTAAAGGAATTTAAATTAAAGAATCAGAAATGGATGGAACTTAATAAAGTGTGTATCATCAGTGATACACATAAGTATGTAAAAAATTCTAGTTTAGTTTGATTGAATTACTGTCAGATTTATACATCTATTTTAAAATTAGTAACAACATGAAACTTTATTTAATGCTTCATAAAGACAGTCATTATGTATCACTTGAGATACAAATGAAAGCCAAGGTGTTAAGTTTAATAACGATGTTATTGACCCAACATGAAACTTCAGACTTTATTTAATGCTTCATAAAAACAGTCATGTATCACATCTGATACATATGTATCACATGTGATACACATTATTATTTTAGCAAATATGACGTTTTTAACTAATATTTAGGTATTGGATCGAGGTGTAGGCCTTTCAACTCATTCAGATAGTGAATTGATCACGCAAGCTTTATGTCTTAATCCTCCAGATGGTGAAGTAAATGGGCCGGATTGGCCGGCACGTATTAGACATTTAATGCAACTGGCGCCTTTGAGTTATTCTTTGTGTTTGATGTTAAAGGATAAAATTTATGCTGTAAGGGACCCTTATGGTAATAGACCGTTATGTTTGGGGGTTATTTTGCCTCCTAATCAGGAATGTAAGTATAAATATAAGTTATAGAAGTACTCTGATAATTTTAAATTGTTTTTCTATAGGTTCAATGTACTTTGTGCTTTTTAATGTTTATTATAAATCAATCTGTACTTCTTTGATATACTCTTTCAATAATAATGCATATATACATTTTAAAACCAAAAAATGTTTATATTTATTTGTTTTGTGGTGATATAAAGAATTTTTTGTAACCAGTTACATAATATTCATCATTATGTAACTGATTACATAAAGTAGATTAGTGTGAGATTTATTGGGATTGCAAAAAATTATACTTTATATGTCGAAATTAGAAAAAAATATTTAGAATACGTCGAGGATAAAAGCATAAAATTTATTGAAATTAATATTTTTTTAGTAATAAATGGTGAAATCGGTAATATTCAACCTGAGGGATGGGTGGTGTCTTCAGAATCATGTGCCTTTTTGTCGGTAAGTATTTTTTTATATATTATTTTCTATAATCTTTATTCTATAGAAAATTTTCCTAAAATGGTCCGTATTCGAGAAATTTTACAAAATATAAACAAAATCAATTTTTTTAAGAAAATTGTTCAAATAAAAATTGTTTGTTATATTATTTTCTATAATTCTTGTTCTATACATAATTTCTGTAAAATGGACCGTATTGGAGATATTTGAGAAAAAGTGGAAATTTCGAATTTTGAAGAAAACTCAAAAGCGGATAAAGAGAGAAACATAAAATTTTAGATTTAAGCTTTATTCTTGCCTGAGATGAAAAGATTAGATTTTTGACAGAGTCGGAACATCTGGGGGGATACTTATAGAGGGTTGTTTTTATATTTTATTGAATATATTTGTTATTAACGTTTGGAGAAGAAAATCGTTCGAATAAAAGTTACTTCTTATATTATTCTTTATATTTTTTGTTATATATAAAATTTTCCTAAAATGGTCCGTATTCGAGATATTTGAAAAAATGTGTAAATTTTGAATTTTGAAGAAAACTCAAAAACGAATAAAGAGAAAAGCACCAAATTTTAGACTAACCTTCATTCAAGCCTGCAGTGAATTGATAGATATTGGGCAGAGTCGGAACATTTGGGGGGTACTTTATAGAGGGTACTTTTTATATTTTATAGAATATATCTGTTATTTATGTTTTAAGAAGAAAATTTTTCGAATAAAAGTTACTTCTTATATTATTCTCTATAATTTTTGTTCCTTATAAAATTTTCCTAAAATGGTCCGTATTCGAGAAATTTTAGAAAATGTAAAAAAAAACAAATTTTTAAAAAAATTGTTCAAATAAAAATTTTAATTTTTTAGTATTTTCACTGAATGAATGTAATGATCAAGACATTCCTGACGTCATCAAAATTAAAATCAAAATGACGGAATTTTTGGGGATTTGAAAAATGTCAGGGGGTTGATTCTCGACTTGTAGGAACCTTTTCCTATAGGAATTTGTGACACTTTCCTATATGTAGGGAAATGTCATAAATTTTCTATGTATAGAAAAATGTCAAAAATCCCTATAGAAAAAAATTCCTACGAGTCGAGAAT